TGTGTTTTCCTGCTGTAATGCCAAAGTAAAACAACTGGAGGTTGTGAGGGGGAGAGTATGCTTCGCTGCTAGCTTGTTACTTATCAAGCCTGAGAACTGCACCTGTGTTATGTCTACTGTTCGCCTGGTTCCCAGGACCTGAGCGCGCAACCGTTTTCTCCTGCTCGCCAGCGGGAACGTTATCCATTGGTTATGTATCTAACTTGAATCCCTTTATCATGTTTGCCCTAACTGCTTGTACCCAGTTCTAACAAGGAACGTGTTTGAGTGTCTTTCCAATGCTTTGAAATAAACTTTGCTTTCTTTGGAAACGTGGATTTATTCTCGATGCTTGGGGATCCAACACAGGGAAGGCGGGCTGGGGGGGCTCTGCAATTTACCTGGCTGCTTCTTGCTCTGACTGAGGGCTGCTGGGAGCAGGGGGTGGGGCTTGTTGCATGTGCCCACCCCCTGGCCTCTTTACTGCTGGAGCTCTGCTCCTGTGCTCTCCTGCAGGAAATGACCCCTGACCTTGCCACAGAATCCTAAATCATATTTATCATTTCTCAAAGTACAGATTGAACCTATCATATGTTGTTTGCTCAGGCTTTGCTCCCATCACTTAAGTGGTGATAATGCATACAGTTGTCAGGATACCTCAGCTGGGAGAGCCAGTTTGGTGTAGTGGTTAAGTGTGCGGACTCTAATCTGGGAGAACCGGGTTTGATTCCCCCACTCCTCCACTTGCACCTGCTGATGTGACCTTGGGTAAGCCATAGTTCTGGCATAGCTGTTCTTGAAAAAGAGCAGTTTGTGTCAGAGTTCTCTCAGCCCCACCCACCTCACAGGGTGTCTGTTGTGGGGCGGGGAAGGAAAAGGAGTTTGTAAGCCACTCTGAGACTCCAAGTGAAGGGTGGGGTATAAATCCAATCTCTTCTTCTTCTTCTTCAGCTATAGGAAATGACCTTTGTGGAACCTTCTCTCCAGAAAGTCTTGCCATTAAGATGACTGGCTCCCAAGTCAGTGGGTCTGAAGATCCATCCCAGAGCAGACAGCCCCATGAAGGAGGTATCAGGTATGTCTCTTACTCCTTGAGGGAAGAAAAGGCATAGTTTGAATTACTTTCTTTTTTCCCCAACTTGGGCTTGATCTACATCTGTTTCTAACACAACTACCAGAAGCTTAGAACACTAGATGATCTCTTGTATTAGGAATTTGTAGCACAGCAATATATCTATGCTTATCTTTGCTCTGGCAGATGAACAGTTACAGGATGCACACTGATATATTTTTATTTATGTGTCAAAACATTTCTGTCTGTTCTTCCAACCTACCAGGATGCATATGAAGGGATTCAGATTTTGGATTCAGGTTTTGGGAAGGGATATTTGGGATTTGCATTAGGTCTGTCCCCCCATCCCCCCCCTCCGAAATTTGGGAGTTATTTGGGTTCCCTTATTCCATATGGAATGGCTGTTTTTTCAACCAAATGACACCAAAATGTTAACTTTGTTTGTATGTGTGTTTTGGTGTAGTGGTTAAGTGTGCGGACTCTAATCTGGGAGAACCGGGTTTGATTCCCCCACTCCTCCACTTGCACCTGCTGATGTGACCTTGGGTAAGCCATAGTTCTGGCATAGCTGTTCTTGAAAAAGAGCCGGAAGAGCTCTCTCAGCCCCACCTACCTCACAGAGTGTCTGTTGTGGGGAGGGGAAGGGAAAGGAGTTTGTAAGCCGCTCTGAGATTCCCTTGGGTAGTGAAGGGCAGGATATAAATCCAATCTCTTCTTCTCTCTTCTCTTCTTCTTCTAGTGTTTTATCTATGCTGGTCTTTGACCATACAATTAAAAGAGAGAATTGCAGGGGACCTAGTACTAGGTAAAGGTTCCCTTGCTCGAAAGCCAGTCGAATCCGACACTAGGGTTGCAGTGCTCATCTCCGTTTCAAAGCCGAAGAGCCAGCGCTGTCCGAAGACATTTCTGTGGTCATGTGGCCGGCACGACTTAACACCAAGCGCACGGAACGCTGTTACCTTCCCACTGAAGTGGTACCTATTTTTCTACATGCAATTTCTTGCTTTTGAACTGCTAGGTTGGCAGGAGCTGGAACTAGAGACGGGAGCTCACTCCGTTATGCGGTACACTCGGGTCTCGAACTGCTGAACTACCGACCTTCCACTGCCTGCAATTCAGCGTCTGTCCTCTAAAGACCCCCGCTCCCAAGTTTCAAGCTTTACTGGCTACAGCTACCAGAGTAATTGTTTTTGGACCTCAAATTGAAAGTGTCTCACCTTGCAGGGTTGACTTCTTGATTTAGACCCAGGAAGGTTGGAAACCCAGTCCTTTGGTCTCTGGCTGGCAGGTAGTAAGGCAACTGGTGGTGGCTAGTTACTTAGGGCATGATTTTTTAAAGGAAACCTATGCTGCAACCTAAACAACAACAAAACAAAAAACACTTGGCTTGTTATTATTTTGGAAGCCTAACAGAAGCCTAATTTTTTCATTTGGAAAACTCATACTGAATGCTAAGCCAGAATGTTTTTTGTGTTTTTTAAAGTAACTAAAGCCATCACCTTCAGTTAAGTGTTATTAAAAGCTTGCTAGAAATTTTCTTCAGAACTATTAAATTTTTCAGAACTATCAGGAACACCCCAAAACCCCACTGAACCACTCCGCCAAAAAATACAACACAGAATTGGTACACAGACAAGTTAAGAACTTAAAGGAAACTTTACTTTCCCAGAATAAACCTCACTGTTCCAAAGTGGGGAAAAGGCTTCTCAATTCCAAACTGGAAAAACACTAATGTCCATAAAGCAAGTGAATCCAGTTCTTAAGATTTGCAGCAGACACTAAATGAGGAGCTGCAGTCGACCCATTCTCCAGATTTTCAGTGGGTTATCGATCCCTTCATCAGGACTGCACTTCGATGGGTTCTCCCAGAAAGTAGTGCCTCCAAAAACTGCCTTGTTTTACAGCAACGGGAACTCCCTCAGAACAATGTCTCTAAACAAAATTATAATGGTAACAATAGCACTCACAATACATATAATTACAAACATCAAGATTGACTTACCAGTTATGGATAGACAAGATTACATTTAATTTGTTAGATAATAAAGAGCAAGGCTTAAAAATGATCCTACTGAACACATCATGAGATTAGTAAATATAGTAGTTCAGGGCCCAACAACTATGGGTCCTGGGAAGCATCGTGCCTATTTGCGTTGCTGTATAATCCATCAAAGAGCCAACAGTGGCCAACAGTGGGAAGATGAACAGCCAGAGTTGATCTGAGTTGATCTGTGGACAGAATGTACTGTAGGTGAAGTGGAGGATTAGAAGATTAGAAATTTAAAATTTCTCCATGGCTTTATGGTTTAAATATTTCCAGAACCCAGTTTGCTTTTACCCATTGGTAGACAGTAAAGCCCTTCCCAAATTGAAATGTATTAAGTATATCTTTAAGTTGAATTCCATTACCTTAAGTACGTCAGCTGTGTCATCCTAGTAAGACGATGGACTAGCAGTAGACTTGGATACTTACCTAATTTGTACAACAATGAACTCTGATAGTGGTATCAGCATATGTAGTAAAGAGTGTCTCAAACAAAATTAGACTTCCTGAACCAGTATAATTTTAAAATATTCCTACTTCCATAATACCGTTTCTTGCATGGTTAATTATGGCATGTGTAATACTTATGCCTTGTTTCAGGTTTCTGCATTCCGGTTACTGCTACATTATTAGGTCTCTCCTCATCCTGTTGATTGTACTGGCTCACATTATGTAATCTGCCTTGAGTCTCAGTGAGAAAGGCAGACTATAAATCACATTAAAAATAAAATAATTTTTAAGTAGTTGGTAAAATATTCTTGACAATTCTTACTATAGCTCAGTGTTGCCCAGTTTTTGTTTCAAAGCTCTGTAAATGTTTTTGTTCTTTTTCAGTGGGGACGAGCAAATAGGCCTGCTCTAATAGGCCTCTCTCCCATCCCCTGCCCTACAGTTTTCCATCTTTGTTTTTGCTTGGTCACATCATTTTGAGGGTGGGAATTTTGTTCTGATGTGCAGTACATGTTTTCTTTTTAGGAGTCAAAGTTACAAGCAAGCACTGAATGAGCTGCCTACTGCCCAGTCTACAAAAGATGAAGATCTTTCGTCGTTTAGTCAAAAAAACACATCTCCTCCTGCAAACAAAACACTGTCCCCTTCTGGTCCAGCCAGGGTATGTAAACATCAAGGGCATCTTCATCTGTTCTTTCATGTACCTAGTCAGACACTAAGAACATGCATTCTCTCGACAGATCACACGACCTTTCAAAAACTTCTTTCAGACAATGCAAAAAAGCCAGCTGTTCAAACCCCCTGGGTCTCCAGGGCCCAGCAGTGTTATGAAAAGTCTTGTCAAACATACCACACCTGCCACTAAACCTGATACCAAGGTAAGGAGAAAAAGATCTCTTCTACATCCCCCCCCGCCAAATTCTAACTTGTATCAAACACTGTTAAAGTGAATTTTCTGAAAGTCTAAGAGGGGAGGTGAAGCCCAGTTAGAGTTAGAGATTCTGTCCCTGGTGTCTCTGGTTGTGTAGAGTGGGGAAGGATCGCTGCCTGAGACTTTGGAGGTCTTCTGCTACTCAGAATAAGCAAGAGGAGGTTCCTCCGGAGAAATTAATGGTTCAATATAAGGTGGTGTTATAGGTCCATGAATAACAATTAAACCATGTATAAGGTTTCACTACAATGCTTGACGTGGTGGTTTTCTATTGTTTAACAAAGCAGTGGAGGAGAGTCAGCGCACAAGTGGCGGAAGGACCCTCCTCTTGTAGGTGTTCTGTTTGCTGGAGAAGGCAAAAGAAGAGGTTTGAGGACCAAACTACCATTGTGTTGGAGATCTGTGTTTGGGGCCTTTAATGTTTTCTTTTAACATTAAAAAGCTATCAGGGGGAGAAGGTGGGGGGAAGGTCCCAATTTGATGTTGTAGCATTAGGTGAGAAGGAGGTAAGTGTTTGTGTGTGTGTTTCTTGCTGTTGCCCTGATAGTTGCCTCCCAGACATGCTATTAGCCTTGGTAGTGAGAGAAAAGACACCCCACTTTCTCACGGCCCCACTGCATGGCCAATAGAGCTTGTTTCCTGGATCTCTTATTAGGGAAATTGCACGCAAGGGGTGTATGTTAGTCCTCCTTATCTCCCAGCCAGCACTGTAGCCCAATCGAAATTTGGATATTTCTCTCACACCCTCATGAGGACGTTTTAATGTCAGGAGATCCAATCATGGGTCTGCCATGTAATGCTAGTTTGGTTCTGTGTGTGCCATCGAGAAGGTGGTTCTTTATTCAGCTATACTATTGTTTTATCTGAAATGCAGTCCTTGGTTAATATTAAAATTGGAGAGAGTTGGAAAAGTTTAATGTTGAACGTCCATGCCTTCCTTGAATAGCAATCTAGCTGGGCTTTTTGTCTTGCTTCTCCCATTTCTTTATACTGATGTGGACAGAAAAAGTTACTTACGTAGACCAGCTGGTATCATGTTACAGCCTCCTACCTTGTTTGGCCTCACTGAGCTAGAAATCACTGCTGTTTTTAATCATTCTCATCAACTGGTTAGTCAGCAAGGATTTAGATATAGCATCCAGTGACTGAGTATTTTCTTTCCTTTCATGCTCATCCTGAAAAGGGAGAATTCGTTGTAAGTAACTAATTATCTTATTTCTATACAGTTAATTGATCAGATACACTTAACTACTCTGAAGTTACCGTTTCCTGTAATTTTCTATGGATCAGTCCTGGGGCTGGTGTCTCACCTGCACAAGAATTTCCCCATCTTTTTTACTTCTTGCCAGACTTTGCAGAAAAATAGAACATAATTTCTATTGAGCCAGTAGACAGTTGGTGCAACTGGAACTAATCTAAACTTTCTGTATGTTGCCCTGACCTGGTTACCCCAGGCAAGCCTGCTCTTGTCAGATCTGGGAAGCTAAGCAGGGCTGACCCTGGCAAGTACTTGGGAAGGGTGACCTTCAAAGAATACCAGGGTTGGGAACAATGTTCCCTCTAAGCTATGGAGTCTTGTGAGCAAAAATTCTACTTTGCGAGCTACTGGCATTAAAGTTGTGAGCGAGCTATTTGGCTACTGCATAAGTTAGTTTGCTCTGGAGCCATCCTTCCTGAGCTGAGACAAAAATGTGTGAGCCGGAGGCTAAAAAACTTTGCGCTAGCTCACACTAACTCAGCTTAGAGGGAACATTGGTTGGGAAGCAGAGGCAGGTTATCAAGCCACCTCTCTGAAACATCCTAGCCCCAGTAGGGGTTGCCAGAAGTCACCATGACTTCAAGGCTTGCAGGCACACACACACACACACACAAAATATTGTCAGATCCCCAGTTAAGACACTCTCCACAACACTTTTGGCAGTGATGCTTTATTAGATGATATGCTTACTACAGGAACTGAATCTTTGTCAGGACTGAAGAAAGCGCGCAAATTTCAGAGGTTATAGGTAAAATCCAATGCACCCCACATCCCATTCATATGTCAGCATTCGGGCCCTAGCGTTACTATGACAACCCTGACAGATATACGGTGTCTTATCTATTCTAGCCTGGCAAAAGAGTCTCCAAGGCCAAATCCCATGAGAACAGGCCGAGGGCTCCTACAGGCAAGCACTCAACCCACACACACTCCCCCCTCAGAAATTCTCTCCCCCCTAATACATGGCAAGGTAAGCAGTGAAGCAAAATGAAGAGAAGCTAAGCCGAAACCTTAACAAAGATTCACCCAAAAATAGTTTTTAAAAAGGATAATAAACTTTCTGTCCATTCTAGGAAAAAGAACGACAACGACTGGAGAGTCTGCAGAAAAAACAAGAAGCTGAGCAACAGAGAAAACAGAAAGTAGAGGAAGAAAAAAGACGAAGGTTGGAAGAGATAAAACTGTAAGTCGATGTTTTGCCTTCACTGAGATTTGGATTACCAAGAACATTTGCCTACATTATAGCCTTTAGATGTAACGTGTAGTTACGCCTGTATAACTACACTGTATACGGATGCAGCCACTCTTGGCACTACAGGGGTCATATAGCGCTCTGCAGATACCGCAGAACACGGGAGTACACGTTTGTGGCAGCAGCGGTAAAAGTTTGTTCCATCGGTATTAACTGGGATCTTGGTACATCCCACAGAAAGCGTGAAGAACGGTTAAGAAAGGCAGTGCAAGCTCGGGAACGAGTGGAGCAGATGGAAGAGGAAAAAAGGAAACGAATGGAACAGAAATTCTCTCAACATGAGGAGAGGAGTGAGAAGGTAGGATATGGTCCCAGGGGTTCTTTTTAGCCCAGCAGCAGAACTTTTCATGAGAGTGGACGGAATATATATATATATATATATATATATACACACACACACACACACACACACACACACACACACACACACCGAGATTCTTATAGGTATGGAATGCAGTTGATCACTCTAAAACATTTAGCACATCAGTGATTACACAAAGGCTTCATATTCTTTTGTTTCAGAACTGTGGCTTCTTTGTATAATTGTAACTCTTGAATCCTGTTAATATAATCCCTTCATGTCCTGATCAGCAAGTAATTTGTCCAGTAGGCCATTTTAGAAGCACGTTCTTTCCTCTTCCACCCCCACTTTGTGGTTTTCCAGTAGGCCCATCTGTCATTCTCTGCATCTTCCCCCGCCCCCATTCATTCTGTCTGAAATCAAGAGGGAAATGGATGAGGAAGAAGAGATTAAAATGAACAAAAAATTGCCACAAGAGGAGCCTTTCTCCTGTCTTGTTTGCTCATTTTCTCTTCCTCTGTATTTCCCAAGGAGGGCCGAAAAACTGGGGGTGGTGGTGGCAGGAGTAGGGTATCTACAAAGGGTAAGGCTATGAGCACATCCTGACGACTTCTTGAACTCTGCCAGATTCAGCATGCAAGTTTGTCAAACCTTGGAAAATAGTTTTCTGTTGGTGTTTGTAGGTCAGCCTATGTCCAATGAATTCTCACTAGAAATGTCATTGTTACTTTGAATACCTTGGGACTTGCATCTCTACAATCCTGTAAAGGCTGAAACAGTGAAATAAGCATTCTTGGCACATGGAGAATATGATCACTTTGGTGCGGAGTTGTTTGTTGTGAAGAATGACCTTCGGGACAGAGGCAAGCTATACAATTCTAAAGGGCTTTTCTCACAGGTGCGAGAAGAGAAAATGGCAGAGGAAAAGACAAAGAGAAAAGTGTCTATGAAGAAAATGTGGGATACAGAAGCCCGAAAACAGAAAGCACTGCAGATGGTAAGCACTGCATTCAGTTTCCTATATCTGCAGAATGCAATAGAATTGCAGGGGTTCTACATACAAGGGAGGGAAAGGGCCGGACTTCTGAGTGACTTGGCTTGTAATCCTGAAACCACTTCAGCCGCTTGGAAAACTGTTGAAGTCAATAGGACTCCTCGTAAATAAGAAGAAGTTTCATTGGAATGCCTGCTGACCTAGTTCTTCTTCATCTAATTAATAAGACTACAAAGAATGTTTAAAAGGGCTCAGATATGTAGTATATAATCTTTTAAAAACAATGTATTTAAATCTCATTTTCTGATATGTGTGGCAGAAGACTGGTCTTTTCCACAGATAGGTGGCATCTTCTCACACATAATATGGCCTCTGTTACTGTGGTCATTACTTTCTCTGTGTAGTGAAGGGAATAACAGGAAGTATGTGAGTCCAGGAACCACTCCTGATCTCACTGCACTTGACAAATTAGGTTGTAAAGGAATGGAGTGAACTCCAAGAAACTTTATGCACTTTTACAGTAAGGCTCATAATTATGTTTAAGAAAAAAATGTGCAAAATCTGGATACAACTAGCCGCTATCCATTTCTTGCATGCAGTTATCATCTTGATTGTGAAATGAGTCACTTATTTATTGATTTGATTTATTAGATTTATACCCCACCCTCCCTGCTGAAGCAGGCTCATGGCGGCTCACACTTTTTTTTAATAACTTTATTTTTAATAATTTTCTTAATACAACAACCATAACAATAAACAAACCAGAAATATAAAATGCATATACATATTCAACACTAAATTTTTCATTAATAAAATACAAAATCAACGTATTTTGCGGGTAGCACAGTCATATTATCTTTAACATTATTTATATAATCAAAAAATTTAAACCATTTTTCCAAAAACGTTGTTTTCCTTTCTGGATATTCAAGCTCCAACAGCTGTGTTGCTATTTTGTCCATAGCTACTATGTCCCATACCTTAGCAAACCACTATCCTCTCTAATTTCCAAACCTGAGCAATTAATGTTTTAGCTGCAATCAGCATTAAGGATAATATTTCTTCAGTTGTTTGAGAAAAAGTTCCTTTATCCCAATGATTCAACAAAATCATTTCAGGAGTAAATGGGACGTCTATTCCCAAAATACTTTCAATTTTTGCAATAATTAAATTCCAAACCACCTGGATCTTTGGACATGACCACCAACAGTGGCAAAAAGAGCCTATCTGATTGCATCCCTTCCAACACTTAGGATCCTTCTTAATCTTAGAATGAAATAGGCTCAAAGGTGTAACATACCATCTTGAGTATAGTTTATAATTTTGTAACCTTATATTCAAAGATCTTGTGGTATATAAACTAGATGACCAAATTCTGGACCATTGTTCAGGGGTTAAAATAATATTACAATCCTTTTGCCAGGCCAATTGCTGTGATGAATCCTTCTTCCAGTTGTTTTGGGCTAGTAACTTATATAATATAGAAATAATGCCTCTATGCTCTACAATACCTTTATCAATTAAACTTTCAAAAGCTGTTAAAGACCTATTTGTACTTTCTATCAACACACTTTATGGTAGCTTCACAAATTATGGTTGTTATAACAGCAAATACATGTATATACACCTGAAAAAATGGCAATAGCTGCTCCTTATGTATGCAATCAGATATAGGAGAGTTGACTTGTCCTCAAAGGAAAATGCTAAGTGCCTGGAGTCCAGCCTTTCCATCATGTATACGGAGCATGTTGACTTTTCTCCACCATCCCCTTTCCAATTTCAGGAAGAAGAACAAAAGTTTCACGAACAGCCAGAAAAATGGAAGACGGTTGGGGAAATTAGGATGATGCTAGAGCACAATAATGCAAAACAAGCACATGAAAGGTAATGCTATTTCTCCCTAATTTAAAAGGGTGGTGAGCCTGAAACATTTAAAGGCCCTGTGAGGAGGCTAAAATCTGGGGAAGTACGGGAGTTCTTTGTCATTTTCAGCAACTAAAACTGGAGATAAAAAGTAAGGCCAAGGCCGATGGTTCAGAATCAAGTAACTCAGGTAAAATGCCCTACACTTTTCTCCAAGCTTCATCAGTGTAACCTGTAATATATAATATATACAATTACACCACTGAGTTTACATAAATAATGGTGTAGTTAAAATTATATCAATAAATATGTATTTGTATAATTTTAACTATACCATTATTTATGTAAGCTCAGTGGTGAAATTCCCCTGACGAAGCCTGTTGGCGAAACATGTAGGGATTTTTTTGGGAATTTAACTGTAATAAAACACATTTTTACCTGATTTTGCACCATTGGCCTTGGCCTTACTTTTTATCTCCTGTGATTGGTGCGGCCCTTTTATTTTCCTCTAACAACTAAAACTGCACACTGAGATGGACCCAAAAATCATAAGAATTTTTTAGGATTGCTTTCTGCAATCATTCCTTTGGAAAATACATGATTCTTGATATTTGGAAAAGTTGCTTATGTGTGTTTGTGGTGTCCTCTTATTTGGGGAGGACTGGTTTTCACTTTAAATTATACTTTGTGTTCACAAACAGGGTAGTTTCTGCTGCCACCAGGAATTTAAACAAATTCCAAATCTTCTCTTATTAGCTATTGGTAAAGTGACCTAGAGTCTGGGCTTTTCAGGGGTCTCTGTGGCCCTGAGGAAGGATTGAACTGAATTCTGGGTTAAACTCAAACAAAATATGACTTATTGAATTTTGGAACAAAAATGAGTTGCTGGTTAACTGTAACTGTTATGGGGAAGAGAAACTGGAAAAATAAACTGGCAGGGTATCTTACATAGTCTTTTGATCACAAGATCCTTTTCTGACAAGAATCTCTCTTTCAATAGGCATATGTTCTGAACACTTTACGTTTACACACAGCACTCTGTCGTCACTCACTGACAGATTCACTAACGGAATAACTCTTGCTGACTCTGACTGAAATGCCAAACTCCAACTGCTTTCTCTAACTGACTTTCATAACTGACTTATTTGACACATACAACACAGATTCCTTCCAAACAACTCCTCCCACACTCTGTCATCCACCAATCACAGCACACTTGTCTCCCTCAATCATTCTACTCTGCTATCACTGCACTCCAACCAAACATTTAAAGGAACACACACACTCTAAAACAAGGAATCATTACAGTGTTCTTTGGCCTCCACTTTCCCTTTTTAGGCACCATGGGCAGCAAGACAAAGAGAAATGGGTAAAACAGCTGGATCTGGCAGTGGTTACAGAAGAGGAAGAAAATCAGAAGGTGTGGTAAGGAACAGGGAAACCAGAACGCCAGGTAGATCTGGGCTGGTTCTGGGTTTTGGGGTGCCTTGGCCAATGATTTGTCCTTCCCCTGCCCCAGCACAGTAGTGAATCAAGCCCAGTGTGTCTCTCTGTGTGTGTGTGTGTGTGTGTGTGTGTGAATGCTGAGACCAGAGATGAGTGTGACTTTCTCTGCCCTTCATTTAAGCTAAAAATAGCCTGAGGAAAAGAGATGAGGGAGAGCTAAGCACTCTCAGAGGGTTTATTTTTGAGACTCGGTGACTTGAAGCACAACCCAGGACTTTGTCTAACATTAAAGACTAACTATGTTTATTTCAGAACAAGGTTTGAGTCCAGTGGCCCCTTTGTGACCAATACATGTGTGAATTAGATTTCTGCTTCTCTGATACCATCTAAAATATTTTAAGGAGGTTTTTTGACCCACATGCTAAATCTCCAGGATAGTTGTATTCCAGCCATACCACATCATTGTAGGTACACGTTCAAACTGCAAAGCCACATAGCTATTCACCGTAGCTTACTATTAATTGCCTGCTTGGGTTGTACTGTGTGTGTGTCTTATTCAGTTAGGTAGGAAGAGACTGAAGCACTCCTTAATACACTTTTTTGATGAAAAGATTAGGTTTGGAGGTCTTCTGTATTTCTAGTGATTAGCTGCTGTTTTTGAGTAAAAAGATCATGGTGCTAAAGAACAAGACAAAATGGGTGAATTGGATGGAAAGTAGAATGAGCAGCTAAAAAGCCTGATGTTGTTGTCCCAGGAGGAAAAGAGTCCTACAGATCTAGAGCAGCTGCCTCAGGAAAAGAAAGCCAGGCATGTTGAAGTGGTTCCTACCGCCAGTAAATGGCTGAATATAACTGCTCAGGTGAGTGCTGTTTCAAGTCTTCTCCAGTGATATGAAAACTTAGCTACATGACTGAGGGCTTGTGTTCAAGCATTCCCACTGCGAATAGGAAAGTAGCTCCAATGATGAAGCTGGAGTTTCTAAAAGTTTTCATACCTAGGGGGAACCGTTTGGTTTTCTACATTAAAAGTTAGAGACACATTCCGTTCTTAAACTGAGAGTCAGTTTGGTGTAGTGGTTAAGTGCGCGGACTCTAATCTGGGAGAACTGGGTTTGATTCCCCACTCTTCCACTTGCACCTGGCTGGATGACCTTGGGCAAGCCGTAGTTCTGATAAGAGCTGCTCTTGGAAAAAGAGCAGTTTCTGTCAGAGCTCTCTCAGTCCCATCTACCTCACAGGGTGCCTGTTGTGGGGAGGGGAAGGGAAAGGAGATTGTAAGCCGCTCTGAGACACCTTGGGTAGTGAAGGGTGGGGTATCAATCCAATCTCTTTTCTTCTTTTTAAAACTCAGATATTTTTCTCAGTCGACTGGCAGAACAATAGGAGAGCATTTTGTGGCATCTTGGGATGGGATGGTGCAGCAGTGATGTTTGGGTAGTATATACACCATCCTTGTTACCTGATACTGAATGTTAATGCTGTATTCTATTTTCCTACTACTTGGGGTCATTGTATTGGGTGCTGGGTGTGTCCAACACAAGGACTGTATTTTCTTCCAGGCATATTACAGCTCTTCACAGCATCCTAGCATGCTTTGGTACACAGTATTATATGCTGTTGGGTGAGTACTATGCCTGAAATGCTGCATCAGGTGCTTTCTGAGACGACACACATTTTTCCTTTCCAAAGAGGATAAGAAATCCAAGAGGGGAGATGTGACGACCCCTTAACTGGGGAGGTCTGGTTTTACTTTAAAATGTTCTTTCTGTTTTGTTTTACTCTGTATATCCGGCTGCCACCAGGAAATTGTAAGGCTTTCCAAACCTTTATAATATAATATTTTTTCTACTGGGTAGGTAGGTTGGGTCTTTAGGCTTTCAAGGGACTATGTGTTCCTCAGGATGTATTTATTTCAGAGCTGGTATACTTGAATGAAATAGGATTTATTTAAATAAAGCATAAATACGAGGGTAGAACCATGTAACTAGTAAAGTAGGTATAACACACAGTTTGCTCCCTACTGACAGGGATTTTTCATAGGTAACTTTGTAACACTTTTCCTTCAAGTCCATATAATCTTTACTGTTTCCTAGACTCTCAGCTTTCATCTTATAACTCCTATAGCACAGAACTGAATGTCTCTCCTTTCACACACAAATATTTAACTCAGAACTCTTATATCATACAAGACTGCTTCACTCTTTTCATACACAGGACCAACTTATCCCACACAGGGATGTGTCTCCTTCTCTCATACCCAGAACTTAACTTGACTGCCTGTTTAACTGTCCTCATCAACTGTCTAAACTGTAACTCTTGACTGACATACAAATCATCCACACAGCATCACTTCCAAAAACCCTCCCCCTTTCTGCCAATCACCAATCACACCACTTGCCTGTTTCAACCACCCTAGACTATCTCTCACCGCCATGCAACCCAACTTTTAAAGACACACACACACACAGTTAAACATGAAATCATTACAGGAGAGATCACTCATCTCAGTGTAGTGAAAGACAGTGCAGTGGAAGAAACTCCTATAACTGCTGTACTGGTTTGGCAACAGATCACAAGAAGGCATAATGATGTGATACTGATGAAGCTGGATGACTTAAAAGGAGACACTAGTTTGCTTCCATATGGTACCACAGTACAGGAAGCATATGGGGAAGTGGGGTGATGGTAGTGTTGCAAAGTGGTTATAGTGTTTAATTAGGAACTGTCTCCATAAAGCTCGTTGGGTGGCCTTGGGCCAGTCACTGTGTTTCAACCTAACCTATCACACAGGGTTGTAATGAGGGTAAAATGGTGAGGATAAGTTTCTGTGCTGGCCTGATCTCTTTGGTATCCCACCCTTCTTCCAGCCTAACAAATCTCCTGTCTTGCCATACCATTAGTTTGCAAGTCAGCATGAGAACTAACACAACTGTGTGTAATGAGTATGCCGAATGCATGCACCTGTCATTCTCAGAAGCACTTTTGATTGTCCAGGGTGGGGTTAGGCTCATGGATGCACCATATAGTTCTATCAAAGCTGCCACGCATGCTGAAGTAACTTCAGAAGTGATATAGATCTTAATGCAACTGTAATACTTCAGTACATGTAGGCCTCACTTATTTAAAAGCACACATACCCATGCAGGGAGTTTTTACAGAGGCATTAATATCTATAGGTGTGTCTGTCTGATTTCTGGAACCACATGTCCCTTCAGTGTGTTGACATAACGGAATATAGGCAAGGTGGCACAAGTATCTGTATATGTACCTTTTGACTCTAGTGTTAAGGCTTAAAGCAATACTTTAATTTTAAAGCTGAATTTAAATTTCTCAGCTGTTTATTACTCATGGGGTGGTCATAGCTGGATTTTTATTTCTTAATTTAACATACATTTACTCTTTGTTTCATTTTAATATTCTGACTTTTTAAATACCAAGCTTGTTGCTGGTAGGCCTGTTTATAATGCTGAGGGAAGTTAACTCTGTTTTCGATGTGAATGAGCTAGTGTATTTGAAGATTACCATGTTAATAGATAATAAGAATATTTTGTTCTATTCCCCCCCCCCATATTTTTTGTAAATTGTAAGGCACAAGCCTCTGCAATTAGTACCCAGAAAAGTAGTAAGGCCAAAAAAAAAAGATCTGAGTCGATCTCTTTATTATTTTTTCTGAACAGGTACATGCATATGTACACACACTATACAGTGAAAAGTACTGTGCTAAAATGCTTAGTTAAAAAGAGTTTATGTACGTAGTAACAAAATTTAGAAGTTCATGGTTTATATCCCAACAAGTGGGAACCCAGAAGGACTGGTTGGAGGCATCCCGCTTCCCCCTCCTGCACTATTTCCTCTTCCCTTTCCTGAAAGCCCCCATAGCCTCTCCCCTTTCCCTGCTTCCTTCTTCCCTTCTAAGGTTGCCAGTCTCCAGGTGGGGCCTGCAAGTTTCCTGGAATTACAACAGATCTTCCAGAGATCAGTTTCCCTCCCCTTAGGGTTGCCAGCTCCAGGTTGGAAAATTCCTGAAGATTTGGGGGATGAAACCTTGAGAGGGCAAGGTTTGGAAAGAGAAATGACCTCAACAGGGCATAATAGACTCCATTCTCCAAAGCAGCCATTTGCTCCAGGGGAACTGATCTCTGTCATTTGGAGAGCAGTTGTAATTCTGGGTGACCGCCAGCTCCCACCTGGAGGTTGTATATCAAAAATGAGAGCTCACAGGAGGAGATTGTATAAATATAAAGACACTCCGTGAATGAATTACGAACAAGAGCCAAAAAATTATATTGTATGAAACAATTCAAACGATTTGAAATCTTTGTTAAAGAACCCATATATATATATATATATGCTATTTTTCTCTTCCACAGGTTGAATCACTTCTCACTGAATGGTGAAACAACTTTAAGAATAACAGGGTTCACCATTGGAAACGGCAGGGCCATGTACTTGGTTGTATCTCTATTTATGAAACTTGTATACTTGTGAATAGGGACGTGTGCATTTTTGTCACTGTAGGGAAGCCATTTGAGCTTCACCTCCCAATGTTAGCTTCTTCAGATAGCTGGTACTCTTTAGCTGTGAACTGAAAATTATATTTCCATGTCATATTTACTATATTACATTAACTATATCCCCAGTTGTCAGCAGATACATACTCACTGAAACAGAGTTTCAACAATTCTCCTTCACTAGTTTTCCACTCACTCCACTGATAAGGTTCTCTTTCTGCCAGTTAGGCTTCTGCAATAGTGGTGGTGATTAACACACAACATATGCCATTAAGTATGTACTCACAATCTGGAGTCACAATATTCTGACACAACTTACATCAGTACATAATATCCTATTTTATATTTTTATTTCTAAGAATGAAGTTTCTAATAAACTGGTGGGTAAACCAAAGGAAGGAAAACTGACCTGAAATAACCTACTTGTTTACAGAATTTTATAAGAAACAACTTAAATCAAAATCAGTATTTAAACCATTAGGGATCAAGGTGTTTAATTTAAAGATCCAACTGTGTTCCTGGCAAAGTAATTCCTTTGTAGCCAATGTGCGTTTTGAGTCTGCAACAAAGAGCACACCACATCTAAACTGATCTTCTTTGTGTTTTTGTGGTTTTGAGAGGCAAAATGCTCTGTAAGTGGTGCTTCCCTTGTTTGACGTTTATTTCTTTTAATGTGTTCCATAATTCTTAGTTTCAATGGTCTGGTGGTACTCCCAGAACTTGCATTACTATACACAGTTATGCCATTTAAGATGAAATTGTCACTTTCCCACATTACCTTGCAGGCTTTACATTTCAATCAATGTCTATGTTCTACAGACTGAGTCCTAACCTGCATATCCTAACTTATATCTGATCTAACTATGATGTCTTTAAGAGACATTTGGGATGAATTGCCATTAAGATGTGGATGACACTCATCTCTTAGCTTGCGATGCCAACAGATCCCAGGGAGGTGGAACCAGTTGCCTGGAGGCAGTTTTGGAATGGATGAGGGCTAACAAACTGAAAATCCTGACAAAACAGAGATGCTACTGGTGGGGGAAGGTTTGACCCAGGAAGTGGGATATAGCCTGTCCTGGATGGGGATGCACTCCCCCTTTGGGGTGGTTTTAGACCCAGGCCTGTCGATTTACTCGGTTCATCTTCAGAGGCCTTGCTGTGGTGCCACCACCATCTGAAGCTAGACAAATGTTAACCTGAGAAAGGGCTTTCTCAGTTGTGGTGCCAAAGCTTTGGAAGTCCCCAGGGAGATTCATCAGTCTCCCTCTATTGTCTTCTACCAGTAGGTGAAGACTATTTTTGTGTTATCCTGAGGAACTGTTTTGGGTGTTATATGTGTATGTTTGTGTGTACTGAATTACTTTATATATACTTTATTTAAATGCTGTTTTAATATTTTGGTGATTGCCACCTTGGGGGACCCTATTTGAGTGGAAAGGCAGCATACAAAGGAAAAGATTGATTGCTGGTAGCCAAGCAAGATGTGGGTCAGTGTTTTTTCTTGTGAGACCCTGACTTATTTTTTCATCTGGTTGAGGAGGAATATAATGTACATGGGTTAATACTATGTGTTCACATGCATCTCTCAAGTTCTGGGATTTCCAGTGATAAGAGCCAATGGGTCAGAATAAGTCCAGTTCTGGTACATGATGTAATTAGCTGCTTCCGCATTATGTAGTTACTTATTCCTCCTTGAAGTAGTCAAGCACTGGTTATGCAGGTAAGTGGGCTACATCTTCAAGCTCCATTGTTAAGTCCAACAATTTATCTTCTACAGCTGATTCTTTGGTGTTCAGTGGTCAAGCTCACCTCTCCCTACTCATTTACTTTTCAGAGATTGTGATTTCTGTTGTGTTGTATGTAGGGATGGGCACAAATTGGCTCATGGATGTAAGTTTGTGACAAATTTTGGGCGGTTCATGATTCATTCATGTACCGAAGTTCACAAACTGAAGAGCTGCCATGAACTTCCACAAATTTTGAGGCAGCTCATGGCAGTTGATGAACGGCAGAAAGCAGGGGTTTAAATTGCTCTGAGCCATTTAAACCCTTGCTTTCTGCTCTTCACAAAAAACAGCTGTGTGGTGGAGAACAGAAAGCAGGGGTTTAAATAGCTTGGAGCCATTTAAACCTCTGCTTTCTGTTCCCTTCCTCTTTCTACAGAGAGAACCGCTGCTTTTTGCTCCCCATGAAAAGCAGCGGGGAGCAGAAAGCAGAGGTCACAAACCAGTACGAACTGGTTTGGTTCAAAAACCAACTGGTTCGTATAGGACTGTGGTTCTGCAACAAAGTGAAACAAGCTGCAAAAATGTAATTCGTGCCCACTGATATAAAGAGCTTCAGAATTCCTTGTGCATCTATCATAAGCACTAGTGATTATTGGGGTAGATAACTTCAGAGGTTTGAGGTGCTTTTATGGGGAACTAAAGATTGTAAGTTTGGATTTTGGAGCTAAGAATGTAAGAAGACCAGTGGTCTGATACGTACTGCTTTGCCAAAAGAACTTGAACTGTCTGCTGCACTTATAACATTTATTATCTATTAAGCTTTTCCTTCATTTAATACAGAAATCTCCTATCAGTACCTCTACCCATGTGAACCCCCAGGACCTGAAAGATTCCAAGTCCTTCAAAATCAATCCTAATGACTATGGAATGGATTTGAATAGTGACGACTCCACTGACGATGAAAGCCAGCCCCGCAAACCGATCCCTCCTTGGGCCACTGGTATGTGCAAATCTTTCATGGCTGTGAATGGATACTCCTGAGATCAAAGAAGATTCTGCTAATGGTTCTGAAAATTCCTCTTGAGTTTCTCATTGCTTTTGAGGGATTTGTTTGAATATGTGCCTTGAACTTCTTATGACACTTTCATGCCATTTGGTGACTCTGGTATTGTATAGTACCATATGAACTAACTGTAAGCTGTTTCACTGAGGCCTATAGAATCAATGTGTGTCTCATTGTTTTCTTTAAAAGTGAATTAAAATTGTTCATCTTGGAAGTCTGGGCTCTTATGTGTCCTGTAGTCATCTGGTGTACTGAGACCAAGAGTAAAACTAGAGCTCGTAGGATACTTCAGTAAAGGAAAGTTAATATGGAAATAAAATTTTTCCAGCCTTGGAAGTCTATATTAAACTACAGTCTCTTCTGCAGGCTACCTCTTTGTCTTTCTTTGCCATCTGGCAAGCTTGCTTTCATTTGATAGTTACAGCTGGAGGTTGTTTGATAACTAAAGCTAAGATAGGATAGAACAAAGCCATACCCAGATTTGTTAAATGGGCTACAGTGAGCAGATACTTCAGTTAGACAAACTGTGAGCAGAGTTCACATTCTTTCTTCCTAACAGAAATGCTTTAATTTGAGTGAGAGGTTGCTGCTCAGCATAATACAATTTCTTCCTCAGGTCTTCAGCTTAATGAAGCGGTCACATACCAATACTACAACCCTCCAGACATTGATACATTTTTTGGACAAATCTTGAGCCCTAAACTAGAAGACATCTTCTACAAGAGCAAACCAAGGTATTTCAAGCGCACCAGTTCTGCTGTCTGGCAATCACCGCCATTACCAGGTACCAAAACAGCATTGCGTCCATCCAGTAGCATGAAAAAATAGGCTGGGAAGGACCTCGTATTTGTCGGCTGTGGTTTGTCTAAGTAAGATATCTGTAAACATTTTAATATTTTCTATCTTTTGTATTCCGTGCAATAAAGATTTAAATTCTGAAACTTTCTTGTTTTTAAATACAGAATGAGGTGGTCTGCGTATAAAATCTTCTAAAACTTGAAATATGTGGCTAGAAAAATGTTTTATCTGAAATCCTTCTTGATGTATCTCATCCCTTGTTGACTTGGTGTGAACAGATGGGCCTAACAGATATCTTTTTTCCCTCGCATGGAAGTTCAGATACTTCTGCAGCAATGGTGACAGCAATGGAGGGGAATACGAATTGTCAGTAGAGGGCCTAACTGAGCAAGTAAACAAATTAGAATGAATGCTATGAATTTGGTATGTCATGCACCATACACTACACTGTGGAAAGTTTCTCAAATTCTAGATTTCTCTTTGATTTGCGACAAGGGCAGCCCCATGTAGGGAGTGTTACAGTAGTCCAATCTTGAGGTGACCATCGCATGGATCACTGTAGCCAGGTCATCGTGGTCGAGGAAGGAAACTAACTGCCGAATCAGCCGGAGGTGGTAAAAGGCCAACTTAGCAGGGGTTGCCACCTGGGTCTCCATAGTTAAGGAAGGACCCAGGAGCACTCCCAAACTCCTCATGACAGGCGCTGGCACCAATGGTGCCCCGTCGAAGGTTGGGAGAGGGATCCCCGTCCCCAAACCACCCCGACTCAGGCACAGAAACTCCGTCTTCGCCGGGTTAAGTTTCAGCTGGCTCAGTCTGAGCCAACCAGCCATGGCTTGGAATGCCGGGTTCAGATCTTCCAGGCTGGAGTTCAACCGGCCGCCCAACATCAGATAGAGCTGGGTGTCATCAGCATACTGGTGACATCCCAGCCCATACCTCTGCATAATCTGGGCAAGGGGGCACATATAGATGTTAAACAATAACCGGGAAAGCACCGCCCCTGAGGCACACCGCACTGAAGCGGATGTCTCTGGGACTGCTGTTCCCCTAGCACCACCCTTTGTCTCCGACCCTGGAGGAAAGAAGCAAGCTATTGTAAGGCAAGCCCCTGTATCCCCACATCAGCGAGGCGGTGGGTCAGCAACTGGTGGTTGACCGTGTTGAACGCTGCTGACAGGTCTAACAACAACAGTGCCTCCAGATGCCTCCGGAGGTCGTCCGTAAGGGCAACCAGTGCTGTCTCCGTCCTGTGTCCCGGGCGAAAGCCGGACTGGAAAGGGTCTAGGATGGAAGTGTCATCCAGGAAGCCCTACAACTGTATTGCCACCACCCTCTCAATTAATTTGCCCAAATAGGGTAAATTGGAAACAGGCCGATAGTTGGCCAATTCGGCCGGATCCAGAGTTGGTTTTTTCAAGAGGGGACGGACCATTGCTTCCTTGTGTGCCCCTGGGAACCGCCCCTCAGAGAGGGATTTGTTGACAATCTCCCTTAGGGCACCTCGAAACCCCTCGTGGCCCGCTTTAATGAGCCAGGAAGGGCACGGATCAAGGCTGCAAGTGGTTGGATGTACAGACGCGAGCAAACTGTTGACTTCCTCCAGGCTGAGTGAGCTGAGTTCCTTTCTTACTGCCACGTTGGAAAGACCTTTTCTTCGTCTGTCCGATCGGTTCTCTTTTTTGGCTATTTGCCTCACTGCTCTTCGGATTTTTTCCTCAGTTTTCTTCCTTTTTCTTAGCCTTTCTTCGTTTGTTCTTCATAAAATCAAAAAAAGAAGTTGTTTTTTGTTGTGGGGGAAAGTTACTGGTTTACCTCAGTCTGGCCTTCGGGCTCCCCCCCCCCCAACCCCTTTTTTCTTCTCCCTGTTCTATTTTTTATGGAGAAGAAGTGGGGCTTTTTCAACTGCTGCAGGGGTTGTGGCAGTAAACTAGCTCCACCTGACTGCCACACCCTCTGTATTTTTTGTTTGGGGGAGTCTCACCAACCTGAGTTGTCGGCACTGTGCTAGGTTTTCGAACCAGACACAAAAAAACCAAGCTGCGCGCCTTAAAGTGGTGCTTCTTGAGTTGGCATTACATCCCCCCCTCAGTGATGGAGTCTAGAGAGACCATCGACATCGACGACTCCGGCATCGAGGCCCGCCTCCGACATCACCCAACAGACATCAAAGCCACCGGCATCAAAGGCGCAATCCTCCGCTTCCACACCGGTGAAGAAGTCCAAGTCGTCAAGTAAAGAGCTTAAGTCCGCAAAAAAGGGCACTTCTAAGTCCCTAAAGGCAGCAAAGAAGGGGAAGGTAACGGTGTCTGCACTGGGTGATGCCCCTAAAGTGCCCCCCACTCCAACGGTAGTATTGGCATCGGAGGCCCATCCCGCTCCACCGATACCAACCATTCAGCTCCTGGACTCCCCTATACAACAAGTGGAGCATCCTTACTCCGATATCGAGACGGTGGAGCTCCTTAGTCGTCCTATGGATGCAGAGCCTTCTCCCTCTCCTTCCCCATCGTCGACATTGATGGTGTCAGAGGCTCCTGACATTGATACATGGCCCTTTCGAAAGTCACTGGCCCTGTTTGTTTCTTATGCTTTACCTACCCAAGGGAAGAAGCTATCATCCCTACGTCTATCCAAATGGATTGTGGAGACTATTAAGCTTTGCTACTCTTTAGCGAAGCAGCCGCTCCCGGGTCCGCTAAGGGCACATTCCACCCGGGCGGTGGCTACATTCACAGCCTTCCTACAAGGTGTGTTGCTTGAGGATATCTGCAGTGCTGCGACTTGGGCTACTCCTCACACGTTTGTGAAGCACTATGCCCTCGATGTACGTCTTCATCAGTGTTCCATAGTTGGTCGAGTGGTGTTGCAGGCGGTGCAGATCTAGGACCTTCAGCTTCCTCCTCCAGGTAGGCGTGTACTGCTTGTTAGTCTCCCAGAGGTGTGATGCACAGAGACCACGAAGAACATAAACAGGTTGTTTACCTGTCACTGATGATCTTTGAGTGGTCATCTGTGCATTCACACCACCCGCCCTCCTTCCCCTCTGCTTTCGGTCCTCTCGTTTTTTGCTCTGAGACTGATGGCAGCGATCAGAAGGAACTGTCGGGATCGTCGTGCCCCTCCCCTAGTCATGCGCAGTGACTGAAGAGCGGGCATGAAAATCCCTTTTGCTTTCCATTATACCGATCGGGGTCGGCGCAGGTGCACTCTATCCCAAAGGTGTGAATGGACAGATGACCACTCGAAGATCATCAGTTACAGGTAAGCAACCTGTTTTTCTCATGAGCAAAGTCTTTGTAATGACTCAGCAGTGTATTTCATGTATTGAAAAGGGGGTCTGACACAACAGAATACAGGAAGGTGGATGATGTTGACACATCCCTGGAGCAGCTGCTTGTTTGCTCTAATGATCTGCTTTGAGAATGGGATGTGGTTTCTTTAGCCAATAGTGTCTTGCTAAACAGTGCTGATGGAGCCTGCAACCACCGCTCTGCTAGGATTCTGTATTCCAGTGATAATTATATAGGTTTAGTATTGCTTCTATGTACATATCGCTTTAGCATTAATGCTTACCAGCTTTAGAGACTGAACAAGATGGTGATTGCAAATGTCAGCTCAATAATGCAGTGAATGACTAATACCATCTGATAGAGTGCCTCAATGCTTAACTGAAATCAGTGAAATGTATGGACACGTTAAGCAACGCATATGAAGATCCATATGAAGTGGCACCTGTCCTATACAGTTATATCAAACACCTGATCAGGTGAACACGTGTGTCTACTGTACTAATGTGAATGCCTGTCATATCCCTTCAGCAAAAGCCTGTGTGAAAAAATCTTTCCTTAGGATACATCTGAAAAAGGAGTAGTTGGATCTACAGCAGTAAAGGATAGTTCCAAACTGTGTTCTTTGGTACCTTGCTATTCCTTTGAAGTATATTGCTTAATAAGAAAATCAGTAGTAGCAGACAAGCATACCTGAAAGAAAGCTCCTCTACCATTAAAGATGTTCCCCTCTAATGCACAGCTACAAGGGAGTATTTGGCACACAGGCTGTGCACTTAGTGGAAAGGGACAGTAGTGAGGTTTGACGGGCCTGTCGGGCAACCTGCTTGTAGTGAGGCCCATATACACCGTAACATGCCTCCAAATCCTCCCAAACATGTAGAGGTTGTAGGGAAGATTCACAGGATTTTCTCAGCAGCAAAATAATGTGGGGAAAGTTCCCGGAGTATAACACATCTGGAGGCAATGAGGTAGATGATTATTGCTTTCATTTTCTATGGTGCCGTACAGTAGGTGGAGCAATTTTGTTTCCAAAGGGCAAGTCAAGATCCATTTGTGAGTCATGAGACTCAATTTGTGGCAAAGGTGGTGTTAGACGATAATGCAGCTCAAAAAAACTGATAAGAAGAGAGCTCTAACTCCATAAACACGTTTTGAAACGGTTGGGTGGGGTGGGAGGGAGAGGCAGGGTTTAGTGGTGGCTGCTTTTAAAGAATGAACCGCCGTCGACCATGATCAGCACCGCATAACAAGCTGTCCCCACTCTGCCTGACATTGAAATGAGTAGCAAAATGTAAATGGCTTGTATAAAGTCTGAACAACTGAACAGGATTTCGAGGGCATTTTTATATTTGTACATATCTAAATAATGAGCATTGATATACCTTCTCTCCCCCCTCCCTTTGTTTCTCCCATTGTCAAACCACTAGTCACAATCCTGAATGTTAAAGCAAAACTGGTCCAGAGTGAATGGCCAGTGTGTAAAACCTATATCTGGCAAACTAGTTTCAAGGCCACAACCACTAACATGCAGGGGTCATTTCCTGCAGGAGCGCACAGGAGCGGAGCTCCAGCAGTAAAGAGCCCAGGGGGCGGGCACATGCAACAAGCCCCACCCCCTGCTCCCAGCTGCCTTCAGTCAGAGCAAGAAGCAGCCAGGTAAGTTGCAGAGCCCCCCCCCCCCGGCCCCCCGGCCCAAAACAGTCCAGTGGCACCTTTAAGACCAAGTTTTATTCAGGTACAAGCTCTCCCTCCTCTGCCAGGACAGATCTGCACGTCCCCCCCCCCAATAGCTAGCAATCCAAAACAGTCCAGTGGAGCCTGAG